ATATATATATATATATATATATATACTTTGAAACTATTTTATTTATTATGTCATTATTCTCTCACTTATATTATAAAAATTATTTTATGTTATTTTATATATTTATCAATTAATTTATTAGTCAATAGAAAAAACATTCAATTTGATCCGTTATAGTTTAGAACTTTATTTTATCAACCACACTATACATTTGGAGCAATGTTACCTTACATCCTAACATTTTTAAGTCAGTCCGTTATTTTTAAGAATGGTAATATTAATAATTTTTACAATTCTTAGATTGTACTCAACACAATATGAGATATATTATTATTTATCTGAATAACCAATAAATTAATGACTGACTGTCATTCAAGTTCTTGTGTTTTCGTTCAACCCAAGTCACTTGTTATTTCATGATTGTGCTTCCATTAGTTTTTGTCCACCAATTAACAATTAGGGTTTCAAACTTTGCAGTTGTTTTTGGTACGCCACTTGAATCACCTGATCTGATGGGTGTCCACGCATGCCATTTTTGCTGCTAAATATTATTACCTTTTATTGTGTAAGGACAATGACCATCCCTTGCATATCATCAAAATTCAGCACATGGCTTTCTATAATATGTTTTAAAGTACAACTAGGTCAAATTAGAAGAAAATAAATGAATAAGCAAATAAAATATGTGTCTCAATCAAATCTATGATCAAGCTTATAGAACTTGTAGTGGATTTGCATAAATGATATATAGATCGCATATATACTAGTGCATGTCCTCATCAAAGATTATGGCTGTTAGGACCTACATATGGATTGAAGATGTATTCATCTCCAACTACCTAAACATATAATTTCTACGTGGTGCACACATGATAACATATATGGTGATCACAATTTCCATGCACGGTTTCAAAGAGAAGCAAAGACATCAACTCTCATTTTAAGGTTTTACTTATTACTTTAATTTTAACCAATCCAAATAATTAAACTTATTGTTCCACTTCCATGTTACATTGCACTACGTAAAAGCCAACTAACTAAAAAGGAATATGTGCGTCCTCAAACCCACAGGCTCGCCGTTTGTATGGCACTTGTAGAATACCAAAATGCTCTCTGCACATTCAATATTTAATAATGTCTGGTGAATGCTTCCCAGAACCCAAGTATATATAGCCTCCTATAAAAGTCCAAACTCGCTACGTCACCCATTATTTTTGCAATCTAAGTATACACTAACAAATAAAAAAATTGGCCCCAATAATCAAACAGAAAGTGCAGACGCCCTTACTACAAAAAATAATCATAATAATAATTTATATATTAATATATAGTACAACTCTAGTATAAAAAAGTTTGTTGGAATCATATTGCCAATCCCAGGTAGCTTGCTCAATGAAAATAGTAAAACTAAAAATATGCTTCATGTGATATTAATAAAATAACTTTTATATAGACCATGATATGTATTTTTTTTTAAAGCAAATTGTATTTTAGACGAATAAAACTACTATATATGATATATAAATCTTTTCTTTTAAATAAGTAACACAATGTATATACTCAAAATTTGTACTTAAGGCCACTAATTATTTGTATCAATATAAGCTCGATGGTATTTAATAAATTATTTTATAAATAAATAATTTAATAATGAGTTATGTGTCATTAAAATAATTTAATTATATGTTAAAATTTAGATGATGTTAAAAAACTACTTGATTGATTACAAAAGAATATTTTCTCATTTGTTAATGACTAAATCAAACTCTTATTGTTGGCATATGAAACCTCCCACATACTATTAGGATAAACCATAATGTATTTGTTATATTAAACTTTTATCTAATATTATCATGCATACATTGTGTCTATTATTTTCAAATACTAATAAATTATGAATGAATAATATAAAAGTCTTTAACGATACATATAGTATAAATATTTTTATTTATCATCTAATTAGAAATCATGTATATGTATGGTAAGTTTGATGAGTTTCTAGTCAGTTAGACACACAATATAAAGTAACTCCTTTGGGTTTTTGAAATTACAAATCATGTAAATATTAAAAAGTATCAATGATTAATTTAAATTAAACCTTGTTCCAGTAATACAAACATTTTAATTAGTTGAATGGTTGTTGAATATATCTTAATTAGTTAGAAGAATTTTTTTTACTGAAAAAGTTTTTTTAAATAAAAATATTTTCAAAAATTCTTCTAAACTGTATTTAAATAGTTTCTTAATCCCAAAAATTAACTTATAAAGTGAAAAATATTAATTAATTTATATATTATTTGTTATAATATTTAAATGCACATACGTCCCCTCACTCAAATACCCTCTATAAAACAAACTCTCTGTTGCCTCATGCTTTTCCTAAGCCCATAGGTTGCGGATTACCTGCCGTGATTTTTCTCTAACAAACTTTCCCTCCTTCATCTCAAAACTGAGGGAGTGTTGGCTAAGACATTATCAAACACACTCCCAATTCATTTTCGCTCTTGGCATCAAACACATTCATAAGGGTTGAGGCTGCACGAAATGACCTTGCCTAGCGTGTTTAGTGCCAAAGTTATGGACAAATGTCACAACTAAAGAAAGTTGGAAAAGAAGATCCAAGAAGGGTGGTTCATTCTTTGAAAGTGGCACTTGCCATAACCGTTGTTTCATTATTTTACTATGTTAAGCCTCTTTACAATGGTTTTGGTTCATCTGCAATGTGGGTAGTTTTCACTATCTTCGAATTCTACGTAGGCAAGTTTTTTCTTGATTCACACAAATATAGCACCAAACGATAATACACCATGTCGACATGATTTTCTTACTAACGAGCAATTTGATTGTGTGACACATGCAGGAGCAACGTTAGGAAAAGGTTTTAATAGAGGTTTTGCAACATTTTTAGCTGGTGCCATGGGGCTTGGATCTTATTACATGGTGAACTCAATGTCAATGGGACATATAGTGGAACCGATACTTCTTGGAGCCTTAATTTTTCTAATAAGTAACGTCTACTTATCTTATTGAATTTCACATTTTCACTACTAAGAAAAATCCAATTAGATAATGATAACATTTGAGTTATTAATTGCAACTGCAGGAGTCACCTATTTTTGATTTTTGCCTCAAATGAAAGCGAGATATGATTATGGGTTGCTGGTGTTTATTTTGACATTTTGCATGGTGTCTGTTTCAAGCTACAGAGACTGGGAGATATTAGACATTGCACTGAAAAGAGTAATCACAATCCTTACAGGTGGATTAATTTCTATATCAGTAAGCACTTTTGTGTTACTGGTATGGGCCGGTGGCGATCTTCATAATCTTGAGGCAAAAAATATTGAAAAATTAGGCAATTTTTTAGAAGGTACACATAATACATATATCTTCCAATTTTGTAATTTGGCTTAATTTAGGCTCATTCTTTTGGAGTTATGTACATGAATTAGGTCCAATGTTGATCATGCACTTAAAATTGCAGGTTTTGGAGAGGAATATTTCAGAACATCAGAGGTTGGAGATTCAAACAAATCATTTTTGCAAGGATATAAAAGTGTTCTTAACTCAAAACAAGTTGAAGAAAATTTGGTGAGGATGAGAAACCCAAATTATGTGACGGTGCTACACTTCCCATATCACAATGTCTTACTTCTTAATTAAAAGTATTTAAATCATTTTTGCAGGCCAATTTTGCAAGGTGGGAACCCTGTGATGGTGGCTTCAGATATGGTCATCCATGGCAACAATACTTGAAGATTGGAAACCTGTCAAGACAGTGTGCCTATCGTATTGATGCTCTTAATGGTTTTCTTAACTCTACCAAGGTACTAATTGACCTCACATTTTATTGTGTATCAAATATTGTTACTGAAATGAAATGACTTAATTTTATAATGTTTAATTTTAGACACTAATAGAAATCAGAAGCAAAATACAAGAGTCATGCATGAAGATGAGCACAGAAACAGGAAAAGCTTTAAAGAAATTAGCAGTGGCAATACATAAAATGATTCCACCATCTTCTGCAGACACTCACATTGCCAAATCTAAGGTTGCTGCTACCAGCCTCAGATCCATTATTAAGACAGGATTGTGGGAAGAGACCAATCTCTTTGATGTTATTCCTGTTTTGACTGTGGCTTCTCTGTTGGTTGATGTGGTTTCTTACACTGAGAGATTAGCATA